ACCAACGAGTGTGGGACATTAAAACTAAAATTAAAAAATGTAATAAATAATTCAGAATAAACAATGATGAACGAAATTAACTATGAATATATAATTTAGTTTGATCAAGTCTTTATTTAAACACCTATTTGTGATATTGGTTCTAATTATCCATTTTAATTCTTCCTTACGTGTATTGGAAAGGGATAAAAACTATTTTGAGGGATATATATATTTTTTTTTAAAGATTCTAAGGCGCGGGGCATTAGAAAAGCTTTGTTTTTGAAAATAATTATATTATTTTACCCTAAATTTTCACGGTAGAGTCTTATCATTTCAGCGACGCCACAGAACATGTGCTTCTCTTCTGAGCTGTGGACGGCGAGACATTTTATACCTTGTTTTTACCTTATTTATTTTATAAAAAACCAACGAGTGTGGGACATTAAAACTAAAATTAAAAAATGTAATAAATAATTCAGAATAAACAATGATGATACGGGTCATAGATAAAGGCCTGGGAACCAAGAACAAAATTAACTATGAATATATAATTTAGTCTGATCAAGTCTTTATTTAAACCCCTATTTGTGATATTGGTTCTAATTATCCATTTTAATTCTTACTTATGCCTATTGGAAAGGTGTTTTTTTCCTAAGATTCTAAGGCGCGGGACGGCGAGACATTTTATACCTTATTTTTATCTTATACGTTTTTACCTTATTTATTTTATAAAAAATCGACGAATGTGGGACATTAAAACTAAAATTTTGTTTTTTGTTAGGCCTACTGTATAATCAGAATGATTTTATTTTCTAATTGCACTTGTCAATTTTATTTTTAAAAAAGTCTCGCCTCATTCAGTAAACCCGAACCAGGCTAAAAACATTGTTTCCAAAATTAATTAGCTGTTAATTGTATTGCTCACACCCCCCCACCCTTCCACAGCTCAGAAGAGAAGCACATGTTCTGTGGCGCCACTGAAATGATAAGACTCTACCATGAAAATGTAGGGTAAAATAATATAATTATTTTCAAAAACAAGCTTTTCTAATGTATTCATCAAACTAAATCAATTAAAAATGCTTGAAAGACACTTATAGGCTAAATTTCCAATATATTTTTAAAAATTGCATGTGAAACTTTCTACTGTAGTTGCTGATTATTGTTGCTATACACGGCCTATTTTAAAGTGGACTTGGAACTTCCTGTTCGATGCAGCAGATAATGAGATACACTGCATGCTGGTACTACTATATGTTTTCATTGATGTGACTACACTAATAGAGAAATAATTATATTTTTATGCGCGCTTTTCAGTTTATATGCACCATGGTGGTCCACGGACCCCTTAAAAAAGAGGTGTAGAAGAATACATACAAAAAAAATAAATAAACAGGAGAGCTCAGTATTCTAAACTAGGGTAATTTTTGATTTAAATTTCAAGTAGCACTTCTTCCCGTTTCTATGCAAACACCACCCCAACCCAGTTCAGCGTTTCGCACATCACATTCCCCCAGAATATTCTCTGGATCCATCCTGCGCACGAGGCTGGTAGAAGCATAGACTTTCATGATAGTAGTTTATGGAAGTAGATAAATATATTTAATTTGTACATGTGCGACTTCTAGCAGTGATAATCGGACTGGATACTAAAGCTCATAACTAAATCAATAAACAGCATATCATTGATCGTCATACCAACAAAAGGACATGATGAACGTTCCTTTCTAAATTAAAAGGATGAACATGAATAAAATACAAAGGAAGCAGGTAAAACTGTACATTATTATTTTTTATAAACATAGGCTAACAATCCTTCGCTTGCACTTGTCACCTTATGCCCTACTTCTGTCCCTGCTCCACAGTACATTCGTATTGGTGGTGTACAAAGACGTTGAGATTGACCTTTTTTGGCTAGGAGCCAGTTTAGTCAACGCGAACATGAGTTGTATTTTACCGCGACACTAAATGAGTTTATATGGAATGTATGATTGATTCTCATGACTTGGAGAATAATATTTTTTTCCTTTGATTTATAACAGTCAAATATTAAGGAAAACAAACAGCAGACGATAAATTAACGACAAAACTCCATATCAAAATTGGTAGATTCGTGTACCGCGTGTAGAACAGAAGACGCGGTAGACGATATTGTAGTTAGTGAAACATATCAAACAGGATGCTCACTCGATATTGTTAACATTTTAATGCTTCGGTGAACAAGACCACTCCTACCTAATTAACGAAAGGGCCTACGTAGTGCCACGTATACCGCGGTGTTCTTCGGTGCACGAAGTACAATAAATTTGGCACCATCCCAACAAAATAGGTAAAAAAACCATTACCAGTCCCACTGTACAGTAGGCCTATACATTATAATTATACAGTAAAGACTAGAAATCAAACATATACAGTAGTTATTAAATTGTTCCTGGTCACAGAATCCATTAAATTTGGCAAACCAGCAAAAAGAGGCCACACTTCTCTGGTGCGTGGGGAGTATTCTATTATAATATTAGATTATTATCTTTATCAAATGACCTCATACAAATTTTTTGTAAATGACAAACTTTGTTAATTGCATTACTCAAATATTTACCAAATTGTTCTAGTACTGGTTAAACTAGTAGATCTATCTACGGTATTTACTTTGCAGAAAGGAAAAAAAAACTTTAAATGTGAATTTGTTTTTTGAAGTGCAGTGTAGCAACTCTGCAAGTAGGCCTACAGTACAGTACAAATTGTTAGTGATACTGTAGATAATCTATCGACAAAAAAAAAAATGAATCATTATATTAGTGCATTTAGTGCTTTAAACGTTTGATAAACTGATATGATACATGCAAGGTATATTAAAAATAGCATTAAATGTTGATTTTGCTATGTCTAAGGTTGTGTAAATATTTGATTTTTAAATCCCTCATGGAAATGCTAATAATCTGTTATAGACAACAGTAAATAGTCAGTGCTACATGCTACTGTATGGCACATTTGAAGTACCGTAAATGCTTAAGTAAGTGCCGCAGTGCTTAGAAACATTTTGGAGGATTATGTGCGGCGCATATTTGAGAGCAGGACTTATATTGGTGTGATGCTTTGCATGCCCGTTCCCATTTTACCTATTCCTGTACTTCGGTAGGCCTATCCTTGGTACTACGTCATCAAAAACGTTTATAAAGAAATGCTTGTGTCTTCATTGTGTTATTAATTCATTTTAACACTGTATACATTGTATTTAAAACCCGGTTTCTCAAAGTGTTTCATTACACATAGGGTAATACAGTTACTTTTGATTAATTGCTGCGGCGCTTAACGAAAACAATCATGTTTGGTGCGGCGCTCATTTGAGAGCGGCACTTATTCAAGCATTTAAGGTACTGGGTTGTAGTTTTTTTCAAATAACATTTTTTTTATGTGCACATGTCTTGATACCGTATCTATAATAAAAATTTTTATTCAACCACGGTAAAAAATTGATCACCTCAGTGATGTTTTTCATCAATGCCGTATCAGACATAATAATCAAACTTAACTAATGTTAAACAAATAATAATATTAATTACAGAAAATAAAAGGAAGCTAAAACTAAATCAGGAAACAAAAAATTAAAACATCAAAATACAAAATATGATAAATTATTGTAATACATAAAAATGTGCTAATCTAAGATAATAGATTGAGTTGCTTATTTGGCTACTGCCTTTTAAAAACAAAATACAGCTTAACCATCTAATTAAATTTTAGCATACCTATAAAAATATTTAATTGTCTTTTAATTTAAATTTAAAGTTAGAAAGAGAGAAAGAGTAATTGAATCTTTGAGGTGATCACTTAGTTCGTTCCATAATTTGGCACCTCTGTAGGAGAGACTACGTTTTTTATAATCTGTTCTAGGTTTAGGAAGTATAAGTTGGGTTTTAGATTGGGTGTTATAAGAATCTATAATATTGAATCTACAATTTAGGTAAGCTGGTGCCAAATTATTTGTAATTTTGAACTCAGTTTTCATTAATGTTTTTTATGTACCTGTCTTGATACCTCAGTTTGCATTGTTGATAAGCTTTGAAGTAGAGTAGGTAAAACTTCGGTAAAGTATGTACAGCCTTAGGGACAGGCACTGTGTGCTATTGTCTCCACAGTAGCTTTAGACTTTTAATATCAATAATTAACAGCCCTTTTATGTACATTTGTCATGCTTTTTGAGATGCTCTAGGGTTGATGACCATGGCTTCTGTGATGCTGATTTTTTACAACCAAAGGTTGTCACTCTTTGACCTTGGGCCTTTAAATACATAAGCTATACATATTTGAATAATTTAGTAATTTTGGTACGACTTGTAGTGGAAAAGTTCTATAAATACAGTATTTAAGGACTGACATTAGTGATTGTTCAAACAGTGTTAAATGGACTTGACATATCTTTTATATAAAAATTTGTAGTATTCTGTAATTTATCCTTACAGTAGCAGCTATATTTAGAATACATTTTATAAAATTGTATGTGTTTAACATGCTTAAGGCACTGTGTATGAGGATGTGTAAACTAATTAGGCCACTGATACACTAATGTATGCCATTGTTTAGTGGATATTATCAGTATTCACCATCACTGTGGATGGCTTGATGCCTACCCTCATCAATGCTAAACTGAATACTCAGTTTCATTTGCATTTTTCTGTTACTGAATGGGGAAAGTCCTGGCCATAAACTGGTTTTCCATATAATTTAAACATTTAAACTGTAATTCATTAATTTTAATAATATTTATAAAAGCATTGATTTTCTAAAGAGATGCTTAGTTGGTACTATGGCATAGAAAAGATTGCCTTTAGGGGATGATGACTGAAATTTATTCAACAATTAAAACCCTTTCCTTCTCAATGAGAGTTGAGCACTATAATGGTAGTTTAATTTGTAAGGTGAATACAAATAATCTGATATTTCCTGTATTAATTAAAAGAGTAGAATATGTTTCTGAGACTGTTGGAGGAGACTGAATTAATGGTCCAAGGCTCATGTGAGAAGGGAAACTTGTTTTGTATAACAACTTGATCAACATCGGACTTGTATCAAAATTATAGTATTGAAAGCAAATTTCCTGTGAATCTAGTTGTACATAATTTTACAATAGACCATTTACAGTTATTATTCTCTGAGCTGCAGATGCCAAAGCTGTGGACTTTCGCTGGGGTATTCTTAAGCATCACCTAATATATATGTTGTTTCACCTGTAATTTACTCTACAATAAATACTTTCCACCACTGTACAAGCAAAGAGGTCCCCAGCATTTGCGGACCCAATAGAGGGCACACTTTTCTAATTGGATTTGTCTAAAAATTAATGTTATACTGTACCTTTACAGTGTATTTATACAGCATGTAAACTGAAATACGGTAATAGTACTTACTTAATAACAATAAGCATATGTGTGTAAAATAATGGTTAATTAATATTAATAATAGTAATCATTTAAACACCTATTTTTAAAAATTCATAATCAAAATCTATCAAATCCATGTCTGCTGTTTGTGAGTGCTTGACAATGCAATGCCGTTACCTATTGGAATGCAATTTGATGATTGATTGTCGATGGCAGACTAAGCATATTGTCATTAAAAACAATATGTTGCGTGTGCTTCCTCGCGTTACATTTTCCGTGGAATCCCATAGGCTAACAACCGTTGGCGCAGTGTGTTCCCAGTCATTAAAATGGATCGGTTGCGTGTGCTTCCTCGCGTTACATTTTCCGTGGAATCCCATAGGCTAACAACCGTTGGCGCAGTGTGATCCCAGTCATTAAAATGGATCGGTTGCGTGTGCTTCCTCGCGTTACATTTTCCGTGGAATCCCATAGGCTGACAGCCGTTGGCGCAGTGTGTTCCCAGCCTCCTGTAAGAGGCAGGTTTCCCGCTGCAGAATGAGATAGAAAATAATAGGCGTATGTTTATTGATTGTTTGCAGGATCAGACTTGGCGAGCAAGACAGTAGTTATACAGTCAAAGCGTTACCATATTGATGTCAAAGAAAACAGAAGGGGGAAGTTTATTAAGATAACAGAGGTACTGTATTGTTAATTTATATGTCAGTGGCTTAGGTAATACTGTAATATTAATTTATTACTTAGATTAATGATGTTGAATAGCATTATTAAGAAAAATATACATTATCACTTTGAAAAACATACGCCTGTCTCTTATACACATCTTACTATGTTAAGTTGCCTCCAAGTGACCCGGATAACTTACCAGAAGACGGGATGCTTAAAAGTGAAATGGTCATGAAGGAGAATAGACGTTACTACCTTGATCTCAAAGAAAATGATAGAGGACGCTTTTTACGAGTAAGTAATCATAACTTAATGAACTGACATTCATGTAGCTACAATACAGAAAACTACTAAACATTCATAAACAAATTTTACTTTGTACAGGTGTCGCAGACAACAATCCGAGGTCCGAGAAGTCATATAGCAATACCTGCACAGGGTTTGGTGGAATTCAAAAACACATTAACCAAACTACTAGAAGATTTTGGTACAGATCAAGAGACAGGTGTGTTATAAATATAGCTTTCTCTACTTCTCACATTCGCCATTAATTTCAAATCTACATTAATACACTCAAAGACAATCATTGCCTTCAAGGGCACAGCTCCATGCTAAATATCTGGGGAGTGTTGCAGGCAGCCACCAGTGGTGGTGCAATTATGGGCTTAGGGGAAAAGGTTGTTCATTCTTTGTCCTCAGATGTTACTTAAGGTTTTCAGAAAAATATTTTCTTGATGCTATCTTCAAAGTTATTGTGATTATAGTTATTATTATGAATTTTTTCTTTCTTTTCTCTTTGTTGCGTATGTATTGGTGGATTTTCACATAAATTTTCCAAATTTTTTTTGGTAATTATTGGCTTTGTTATAACCATATGTGGTGATATCAAGCCATTTCAGTCTGAAGTCGCCAGGATGATTTCAAGATATAAGCAAAAACAATAGAGAAGGTCAAAATTTATAATTTAACACGATGCTCCTTGCGTCGAATCGTATGACTTCTGTTTTGTTCAAAGAAATGTGCCTTCCAAATGGGCATGGCTAATATTACATTTTATACATCATTTAGGTATATGAAACTTCCACAGATTTGAGACACATTGTGTACATTATTTGTACAAATGTTCTGTTCAGTCAAACAAATAAAACCCCTTGTTGCTAAGGTAAGATTTAAATGTGCTGCTCTGTGCTAGGCGCCGATCCTACCATACTCTAGCGTGTCAAGAACTCAATCGTTTATCTCTGTTTTCTCAGAACCAGCCAGCTACAGTAGAGTTATTAAAATCGTTATAACTTCAGATCTAGGAATCGGATTTTGATAATTTTTTTCACTATTACAAAATTTATAATGTGCTTATTCATATGGTTATCATATCTGAAAATGACGTTTTGCGACATCTGATCGCATTTGCTTGATATCGCCACATCTTATGTAATTGGAGAATAATTTAATTACAGAGGGAATTGAAAACGAATCACTCTTAATTATTTTTAACTTGAAATTAAAATCAAAATGAATATTTAAATATTGAAAGCCATTACGTCAATACTTAGGCTATTGTCCTGATAACAGCACGGCCTTCTAATTAGTTGTAGAAATTAGCTCCCTAATTAAGGAAATGGAAATGGTATTGTTAGATGCAGTGGTCTCTATTGATTCAGAATAATGACATCTTAATACTATTTAAGTAAATATTTCAATTGCGTTTTCCAATTCCAAAACAAGATCATTATTCAAATAGGAGTTTCTACTAAAGTTAGCAGATATCAAAGTACCTTCATATGGAATTTTAATATTTACATTCAAAAACTGTTGATTCTTCTCTTCTGATTAAACTTTGAATATGTGGTAATTATGCAAATAATCATATAATATTGCAAGATTTATTGTCATAATTTTTCCCTCAACCACCATGTCCACTGCTCGCTGTTTGCTCTTGGAAATGCATTCTACAAAGTGTTACGCCACTGGTTACTGACAGCATGCACCATGTGCAACCCCAGGACCATGGGCAGTTCATCAATCCACACCACGTGCAACCTCTTCTGGTCTCTTGATGTTTCTACACCATGTGCAACCAGCGTAGAACCATGGGAGTTATCAGGCCACACCACATGCAACCTCTTCTGGTCTCTTGATGTTTCTACACCATGTGCAACCAGCGTAGAACCATGGGGAATCCATCAATCCACACCACATGCAACCTCTTCTGGTCTCTTGACGTTTCTACACCATATGCAACCAGCGTAGAACCATGGGGAATCCATCAATCCACACCACATGCAACCTCTTCTGGTCTCTTGACGTTTCTACACCATATGCAACCAGCGTAGAACCATGGGAATTCATCAATCCACACCACATGCAACCTCTTCTGGTCTCTTGACGTTTCTACACCATATGCAACCAGCGTACAACCATGGGAATTCATCAATCCACACTGCATGCAACCTCTTCTGGTCTCTTGATGTTTCTACACCATGTGCAACCAGCCTATAACAATGGGAGTTCATCAAGCCACACCACATGCAACCTCCTTTGTTCTCTTTTAAGTTTAATGCACCATGCACCATGGGGCAAGCCACACCACATGCCTATTTCTTGGTGGGGTGGTGGCTTTCAAAGTCATGCACCACGTATAACCTCTTGATTACTGGTGAGTTCTTTATCACTGCTTCATGCAATGTAAATGCTTCTGTAAATGTAATGTATATTTCATTGTAGAATCTCAACATGACCTTCCAGAAAGTCAGCATTTCAAGATTGAAAACAAAACATT